ATTTTCTTTGAGCAGACGTTACGGCCCTGCACCTTGACAGATCTCCCGGCACTTCCCCTGACAAATTCAACGATCTAAATGATCTCGATCTGTTCAACAATGAAAATGATTTTTACTCCCGCGACACCATCAGCGACAGCGGTTCCGGTTACCATGTGAGCAGTGATTTTGAAAATCGCTTTAGGATAGAAAATAAGCGATGTTTTGACGGCTAATATCAGAAATTGTTAGCATTACTTCCAGAAAATTATATCATAAAAATCAGAAGCGATGATACGAGCTACCTCAATCCTAATAGGGAATGAGTTAAAAGAATACTAATGCGAAATTTTAAGTGAAATCACCTCTCTTCTGCGATTTCTTGAATATTTTAAAATCACATTTTTATATTCTCCAACGAAAGAAAATCAGTTACATCGCAACATTGCATAAATGATGTTCCATATAAATTGATGGATGGAGCTACTAATGTCTGTCTTTATCCTGTGCATTTAAACTGAAACCATATCTTTGGATTTTGTATTTATCTTCTTTATCCATTGCCGGCGCAGAACCCATTCCCGGTTCAGCAACTGGCATGTCTGGAAAAGGGGGGCGTATGCACCTCTTCCTCCAACTGCCCCACCGACCACTACCTCAAGGCCCTCGAGCCCCTCTGCGGCGACCAGATGTCCACCGTGTGTTGCAAACCAACCAGGCCGCTCGAGGACACTGTTATTCAGGTGGGTGCTCATGACAACGACTGCTGTAAACCAACTCGGTCGATCGAGGACACTGTTATTCAGGTGGGTGCCTATGACAACGTTTGCTGTAAACCAACTCGGTCGATCAATGATATTGTTGTTCAGGTGGGTGCTCATGACAACGACTGCTGTAAACCAACTCGGTCGATCAAGGACATTGTTATTCAGGTGGGTGCCTATGACAACGTTTGCTGCAAACCATCTCGGCGGATCGAGGACACTGTTATTCAGGTGGGTGCCTATGATAACGTTTGCTGTAAACCAACTCAGTCGATCGAGGATATTGTTATTCAAGTGGGTGCTCATGATAACGACTGCTGTAAACCAACTCAGTAGATCAAGGATATTGTTTTTCAGGTGGGTGCCTATGACAACGTTTGCTGTAAACCAACTCGGTCGATCGAGGACACTGTTATTCAGGTGGGTGCTCATGATAACGTTTGCTGTAAACCAACTCAGTCGATCGAGGATATTGTTATTCAGGTGGGTAGTCAGTTGTTGCAAGGGACTGGCGAAGAAAAAGAAAAGATCCGTGAAGTTCAGCACACGTGACTAATTTTGAAAACAAGATAAATTTTGGCGAAGAAGGGTACAACTTTCGCCGGAAAGAAAACGTGCTTGGCAAGATAGACGCCTATTTTGACAAGCATGACTCCACTGCTGGTAAGCAACTAGTCGTTGACGGGTTACAAGGATTAATGTCGAAATGTAAATCTCCAGTTTATCATCAGAAAATTGTTAATAGAGCAGAATTCATTTTAAAAAGATCTTCTGACGCCAACACATTGAGTCATGATTTGAGTTCATCAGAAAAGCCGAATGTTGTAGAAGAAAGTAAGGAAGTTAGGGCATCGGGGCGCTGGGAGTTGCCAAAAAGGCAGCCGAGGGGGGACTCGTGTGTTGAGGTCAGGGGATTGTGCGTACGGAAACAGGATTGTCCCGAGGGGGATTTGGTGGGGGATCAGGGGACTTGTGGGGATGAAGGCATCATCGCGTGTCAGTGGAAAACTTCCCTACTTCGGATACCCGAAAGATGGGAAGATCTCAGGCGTTGTGATGCCATAATGAACTGTGATGGAAGTCCATGACATTATTATTATTATCCATGACATTATTGGCGTCATGACTGAAATCTAGAAGCGATTGTAAATCTACCGTCCGTTGAAAAGATTTTATCAAAAGGCCAGTCTAGTCAAGAAAAGTACAAGAATCGGCGACAGGCCTGTCCAGGCCTATTCTTCAATGCCGAAGATACTATACTATTAGAATCTTAGTGCAACCAATCACTCGCGGAACTGATGTGATTTGTATTTTTTTATATGTTTGATTCACAATAAAACTATGCTCCATATATGCAATTTTGTATTTTATCATGTATTATTCTATTATATTAGAAACATAAATATTCATTTAGCAGGCCCTCTGGCATCAAATTTGTGACCATTGATTATTTCGATTGAATGATATTATTCAATCGAAATATATAAATTTCGATACATATATTTCGTAGTATATTTTTTTGCATTTATAATTGTCAGTCTTAAATTTTTTTTTTGAAGAATTTAAGGGTTCAAACTGTAATATAAATTGGAATTTAATTTTGAAAATGTACCAGAGGTGAAATTAACATAGAAAATTAGAATATCAAGATGTAAAATTCATAGAATGTTATGAAATTAACTTATATTAAACAAAACAATTATTCCATTTTAAAACTTGAATTCACATTTTCGATGCTTACCCGAGCCATTATTCTATTATCAGCAGAAGATTTTCTGCCGAATTGAAAAGTAGGAACTTTTTTGCCTAATGAGTCACTAAACTTTTGTTTAACGTTTTTTAAAGCATGGAGCAGCATGAAGCTTGATGGTAGCGAGGGACTGACAGGGTTATGGTGGAGCTTGATGCATAAAAATTGCATTGATTTACTGGACTATTCAATTTAAGCAAAATGATTTCCCTTCGCCATTGAAATAAATTGAAATGAAGTATTTCTACGAAAAATATTATTATTTTACAAAAATATTGAGTTACTGCAAGATAAAAAATAACCAACAAAACTTATATCCAATTACCCAAAATATGATATTTGGATATGACATTTCTATTGGAAACATTGACAAAAATAGATTCTAAATACGTTTTAGTGAAACTTCTGCAGTTAAGAACTACCTGATTATGAAAGAAGCTTAAAGTCATGTATTGGAAGCCGTTCAATTATCACCGAAAAGATTTTTGTAAATATTCAGGCAACTTATACTAGGCTTCTATCGATTTAAAGCATATATGGAAAATAGGTCACTATAGAAATAAACAAAAAAATGTACAGTGGCGTACAAAAGTTTGCTAAAGTGCGTTTTATCGAAAGAAGATATCGCAATTCATATCGAATATTTAAGAAAAAATGTTTTATCGAATGGATTTATCGAATGGAATTTATGCATTGCCAAACATCATAAGGTTTTTGAAGTTAGAAACGGTTGTTCTAATGAGAGGGTTCATAAAATATTCATGATTGCTAAATGAGTGATTCGATAAACAAACGATACCAAGTTAGCTTAACGATACAAACGTGGCAGGGTGGCCCAGTGGTTAAAGTTCAGAGTACCAGGATTGGCGCAGAGAGACGCGGGTTCGATCCCAGCTCTGTGCGCCAGTTTCTGGTCGGAATCGGCGAGGAGGCCGGGCGGTTAAGCACAGCAGAATTGTAGCAGTGAGTTGCGAGTTCAAGACCACATCAAGCTGTGAACGTTCTTCGATGCTAAGAATCGGCGATAGGCCTACGGCCTAATAAACGCTGAATCGCTATTATTATTACTATTACTGTTATTAAGCAGATTCTAAATCCTGATCACATGGAGCGACCACTGCGCCCAGAGACGAACCTCCTCCCTAAAGTTGACTCAACGATTAGAGTCAACCTTCATTAACAAATTCAACTGTAACATATGGTGTGAGGTGCTATTCTTGTCTAGAGATTATTACTAGTATTATTATAACGTGAAATGATGGAGATATTGTTCAAATTCAACTGTAATTTCAAATTTAACTGTAATTTAACTCAAATTCAGTTGTAAAATATGGAGTGAGGTGCTATTCCTGCTTAGAGAGTATTACTCCTGTTATTATAACATAAAATTATTATTATTAGTAAACATGATTCAAATTTGTGTTACTATTTCTGTTAGTATTTACACATTAACTCCATATAGTTTTCGAGGCTGAGTTGAGATATTTTCCAATGGAATGCTTTGTCCGCAAGCACCGAAATATAATGGTGGTTTTCAAAAAAATTTCAGTAATATCATTGAATTGGTTACTTTGCTTCATACATTTTGTTCATGTTCACGCTAGAATATATTGCAAGGGCATAATGGTCGTGTTCAGGACAAAATATTAGGGATGAATGACCAAAAATGGAATGAGTAAGTGGGACAAAAAACCGAGAGAAATGTAAGGGAAAAGTGTAAGGGAAAGATGTACGGGAAATTTTAAGGGAAAAGTGTAAGGGAAAAGTGCAAGGGAAAAATGCACGGGAAAGTATAAGGGAAAAGTGTAAGGGAAAAGTGTAAGGGAAAAGTGTAAGGGAAAAGTGTAAGGGAAAAGTGTAAAGGAAAAGTGTAAGGGAAAATTGTAAGGGAAAAGTGTAAGGGAAAAGTGTCAGGAAAAAGTGTATTGGAAAAAATGTAAGGGAAAAGTGTAAGGGAAAAGGTTAAGGGAAAAGTGTATTGGAAAAATGTAAGGGAAAAGTGTAATAGAAAAGTTCCAGGGAAAAGTGTTCCCCTGCATGACGTAAACCACGGTTATTACTAGTTTATTTCGTGGAAACCACGTTAAATCAACATCAATCCAATTTTCGATTTCCGATCGAAATTTATTGTGTCCGATTAACGAAATAATTTTCCAGCTTACGGAAATTTATTGCGTCCGATTTACGAACTAATTCTCTGTTTTATGGAAATTTATTGTCTCCGGTTTAATTTACTGTAATGGTTTACCAATGAACATTAACTTATTTTTCTCTGGCAGAAGTCATTTGCTTTAAGGGTGCCTACATTTTCAAATGTTAGACGCCTCTTCACTCGAGCAGTCAACTATCTTTATAGGCCACTTAAATATTTTCCTCTTTATTCTGTTTATACTTTAGATTATTCAGCTCACCGTTACTTATACAATTAAATTGCGCAACTGAGATGTTCTGAAGCCTTTAGCTATTTCATGACCGTAGTGGAATATTCAAATAAATTAGTTTCCAGATCTTTTTTTTAAAAAATCATTTATTTTTGTCACGCTGAAGATGTGAGCATGAACAAACAAACGAGCAATAAAAAAGGTGTTCAATATAATGTAAGGAGTAAAATTTTTATTTCAACACTCTAGAAATAATACCGTTGACTGTGAATTTGAACACCTAAACGCCTTTTCATTTGGAAGATTTTTCATATTGTATAAATTTTTCTCTTAAATTAGTACAATATTTGAAATAAGTAATATGAGTTCCCAAAATTAAGACTTCATTGTCAGAGAAACATGTTAGGAAAATTAATGTTTTTCTAATGTTTATAACAAAAATCAAGCCTTAAAAACATTGATAATAACATTTAGGCTGTTCTTTACTCGCTATTAAAAAAAATCTAACCAAAGAAACATTTGTTTAATATGTCGAAAATTTTTGACGTAATTTCGGACTTTGAAGATATGCCAACGCCTTTTCAATTTGTTCGAGCAACTTTGACCTGACGAAACTGTGACGCTTCAAAGACTGATACGCGAGGAAAGTATATTACCCGATGGTATTAGCAGCAAGTATATAGTACATCGAATATCGGGTTAATTTTTAGCCATGCTTAATGACACTTCCGATAAAATTTACAATTAAAAATGACACTGATAATTTCTATTCACATTTTTAGCCCGATATTCAAAGTGTAAAATGTTTGCCGTTACCATTATCTTCCAATACTTTTCTCTTGTAGAAGCACTTTCACGGTGTGCGGACGCAGCAGCCATATTTAATGATAATTTTGTTAAAATTCCCAATTAAAAATGACATTGTTAATTTCTATTCACATTTTTAGCCCGATATTCAGAGTGTAAAATGTTTGCCGTTACCATTATCTTCCAATTTCTTTCCCTTATAGAAGCACCTCTACGGTGTGCGGACGCAGCAACCGAGTTCTGGCTTCTCACACTCCGCGTCCAGGAAGACCGGCGCATGGCGTCCTCCGCCACACTCGCCCCTGGGCAGACATTCTCCTCCTTGGGCGCGACACAATCCCGGCACTGGAAATTGGTTAATGTTTAGTTCAAGTCTTAATGTAATTATAAAATATTTATATCTGCGTCGAGACAAACCCGGGTACTGAAAATTGTTTTATGTTTAGTTCAGCTAAAAATGCACTTATAAAATTTTCTTATCTGCATCGAAACAATTCCGACACTGTACATCGGTTCATGTTTAGTTCAAGTCTAAATGTGGTTATAAAATATTTATTTATGCAAAAAGCCTAATGCAAATATTTATATCTGCGTCGACACAATCCCGGTACTGAAAATTGGTTCATGTTTAGTTCGTTTTAATGCAGTATAAAATATTTATATCCTCATCGACACAAACCCGGGCACTGGAAATTGGTTCATGTTTAGTTGGTCTTAATGCAGTATAAAATATTTATATCTGCGTCAACACAATCCCGGTACTGAAAATTGGTTCATGTTTAGTTCAAGTCTCAATGCAGGTATAAAATATTTATATCCGCATCGACCTAATCCCGGCACTAGAAATTGGTTAATGTTTAGTTCATTCATTCATTCATAATAATACGGTGGATACTCCATAACTGAAGGAAAAACCCCTCCAACGGTTGCGCGCACGCACATGAGGGCATTGAGAACGTTTCGATATTCGGAGAACGTGTAACGTCTTAAGAAAGATGCAGTTCAAGTCTTAATGCAGTATATGCAAACCTTTATTTCTGCAATATTTTAACGCATGCATTTGTTTCCCTTGTGTGAGAATACATTTGTTTCTCTTGAAAATACATCCATTAAAATTAAATTAAGATCAATTACAACTAAACGTACGCTTTACGCAGCAGACTATGTCATCTGAAGACCCACACAGCTGAGTGTCCCTCAAACTCTGCAGACAGTGCGTGCTGTGCTTACAGACTCCGCCTTTGGCCATGCAGCGCTGGAGAGCAAGTTCATTCACGAAGAAATTCGGCTGCTCAGTACAGGAAATAATAAGCGTTTAAAAATTACTCGTTAAAGACAACACTTCTCAAGAATCCAGTGTCTCCGATGTTACACATATACAATAAATTTCTAATTTTATCATCAAATNGCAAGCAGCAGTAGGTAGGGGTCAGCTGGTGAGTATATAAGGGGGCCGGCGACACAAGCGTTCACTGTCGTTTCGTCTGTCGTGCTAAATAGGCGACAGGTTACGATTCTAGTCTAGCTATGGCTGCATTAGTTATGAGTATTTTTAATTCTGATTCTAGTTTAGTTATGGCCTCATTAGTTTTGCACCTTTTTAGTTGTGTTATCGACATTTCTTTTACCCTTCAACTGCCGAATATGATAAATTTTTGTTGAATCTGCTTACAGTTTCAATCACACTGATTGTAAATAATGGCTTAAGTTGTAAAATTTTAGTCCCTATCACTCGTGTTCTTTTCAGCACAAGGAGCATTGCTTTTGCATCGTTGAACTCTATTCACTGGTTTCCATGAAGCTTTTGTTTTACTTTAGTTTTTGATTTGGTCATTGTCGATATGTTTCTTGCAGAGGTTCAGGTGTAGTGTCATCGTTTGGTTTAGGTGCATTGTCATCTATTGGTTCAGGTGCATTGTTATCTTTTGGTTCAGGTGCATTGTCATTTTTTGGTTCAGGTGCATTGT